AAAAAAAAAAAAAAAAAGGACATGGTGGTTTTCAGATTTCTTCACTGGGATTTCATAACATGAAATCTGGGAAAAGAACTCTGCATTCCTGGAAAATATTACATATTAATTGGTATTACATTTATGTTTTGGCCTTCTTCATATTGCAGATTCTTTAAGTTTTTATTTAAAATTTTATTCTAAAATACTCCAGGCAGGAATTACATTGTGAAATATTTTCATTCATGGAATCCACACTTCTCAACCCCACCACGAGGAGGAAGTCCACAAATTCATTAATTAATCTAAGTTTAAAAGCAAGCCAAGAAACCTGCAAATTCTCCAGATTATTCCATGGTAAACACCTGTTTTTGTGGGTTTTTTTTTCCAGTTTATTTCAGTTTTTAATTATGTACTGAAGAATGAGAATAACAAAAGTTTGCATTTTAAGGCAGCAACGAATAGATATGTTCCATTCTACCATTTCCTGCTCCAGTCAGGAAAGGTGGAGTCTCCCTATTTTTCCCACCTCCTGCCAGGGCTCTGCTTCGTATAAGCCAGCTGATTCTTCACTGTCCAACTAACCAGTCACTTGGTTTACTGTCTCTTTTAGTTACAATTATAACACAAGGTCTACCCGTGGTGAAAAAGAAACATGGAGTTCCTCTCCATGTCATTCAACTACAGTAGAGTCCTTGTCTGCCACAGAAACCCAGGCTGGAGACATCCTGCCTCATCCCACTCTGAGCCTCAGTCAGCCAAGGTGATTCTGAATGCAATGCCCCCCGACCCCCATGCCCCAACTCCTCTGATTATACTCCTGCCCTATCAGATAATTTCTCACCCTTCCTCCCCCGCACATGCAATTTCAGTCGCCATTCTAAAAAGCCTATGTAGCACAGTCCTCTTCCTGCTGGAAGGCTGTAACCCTGGAGAGGATGTTGAAAAGAAAACACTTTAAGGAGTTAGGCTCTCACCATTGTGACATTACACTGCATCCTATTAGGTGTGGGTGGAATTGTTAAAGAGGCAAATGCCTTGTCTCTCAGCATCCCTGATTATTTTAGAAATATCCTTATAGGGCTTTTTTAACATTATCCTAATCCTCTTTCACACTGCTTAATCACCCAGACCTCTCCTAAGAATTAGGAGAAATTATTAGGAAATTCCTATTGCTGTGCTTTGAGCAGAGATCAGCACATACTGTAGAGAGGGCTACCTTGAATTCTAGTTGCCAAAATTCAATGAAGACAATGTATGGAGCTGCTCTTAGAGTACATGTAGGTAAGGTGAGTCAAAACAAACTCATGCAAACCCATGGTACCTAAAGCCACTGGATTCTGACTCTCTTCACTTTGTCAAAATAGTTGCTGCTGTTGTTGTTTTCCTGGAAGAAAATGAGATTTGGGGATATTGTCTATGTCTACCATTCTGGCTTTGTTGTGAGAGGAGTTTGTTACTTGGGATGATTTCCAGCCTTCAGTAACACAAAACTTTTTTAGTTCTCATAAATTTAATAAAGTATCCCAAGGAAAGGTGTGGACCGTTTGTTCAGACTGAAGATGAAGGTCTTAAAATTAAGCACAACCCAAAATATCTATTTCTTTGTCCACTTGGGGCTTCCTGGTCTAGCAGCAGTTATAATTTGATTGTGGTTTTTTCCAAGATAGAATTAGCCAACTCCTGAATACCCTGCAAGCAGACACAATCTGAGAGGAGAAGAACAGTTACTTCCTAACTGTCTTGGGTGTGTGCATGCGGGAGAGGCGGGGTGGGTTCAGGAGGTGGGAGGGATACCTCTTGGTTCTCTTCACCTCTCCCTCTCTGAAATAATTCACTAGGTTTTTTTTTTTTTTTTTCTATAAGAAGTTAGAATGTGAAACAGATAAGAGACCTATAGTCAATATTCTTTTAAACATTTCACAATGTTAGATGCAACACACACACAAAAATGTCAAATCTGCATAAAACATTATAAGCATATTGTGCCTTTTTTTTTCATTCTGTTCACTCTGTCTCATTAATTCTAGTCAGTACAAGCTCTACAGACCTTGCGTCTGGTTCTCTGCCCCCTTTCCCCCTTCTGTTTTCGGTTCCTTCCCCAGATAGTAAAACCTTTCCTCAGAGCTCACCTCTCGTGCACAGGGCATGGACTAAATCAGGGTGGCCTGTGGAGGAGAGTTAAACAAAAAAGTAAGGATTAGTTCATCTTATTTTTCACTAATTTTATCAAAAGATGATCACAGTGGCTGAATATTGCTATGTGTTAGCCTTGGAGGTGAGGAAAAAAAACAAACAAACCCGGACCTCCTAATTTATGATCCTTCCTTCCTGTACTGGCTCTACCCCAAAGTAGCCATTTCTCAAGACCTGTGTGGAGTCCATCAGAGGACTTGAAGGGGCCACAGACAGGGCATCTCTTGGTGGAGGCAGAGGAACTGCAAAAATGGTGCCTGCGAGCAGATCTGGAGGCCAGAGCACACTGAGAAGACGTAGCAATCGCTCCCTTTATTTCCCAAGCAAGTTCTGTTCTTTTCATGCCTACTTACTGCGCGCCCCTCCTGGCTGCCCCTGTGCCCTCCCGGATCCCATTTCCCTAAAGGAGTAGAAGCAAAGGGATGCTAGGAATGTGCTCCACCCACAAGACCACGACACGCCACCTCTAAATCGTAGCGTCTGAGTAGTAGGCAGCGGTCTGATGAGCACCCCACTCTGTCCGCAAGAGGCTCTTGGAATTACGAGGTAAGCTGCCCACGCGCACCCCTTTGCCCTGCCGCGTCCTCTTCCGCCCACGGAAAACGGCTGTGGGTCATTAAGACGCTTTTCAAGGCAACGCTAGCCCCGGGGCTCAGGTGAGACTCGGGAGAGGAAGCTCGCGGGTACCTCCTCCGCATGCCTTTATCATCTGCCAGCTCTCTTCTCCGGGAGCTCGGCCCTCCGCGGGCTGCGCGCACGGCACGGAAGGGCGCATCTTCAGCCGGGGCTCTGGCGGCGGAGACGCGCGAGGCGTGCTCGGGAGCCAGGAGCGAAAAGTTGGGCGCCCACTTGGAGCGGGGAAGAGCGAGCGAGCGCGCGACAGCCGAGGGGGAAGGCAGGGAGGGGGCGGGGAGGGGGGACTGCTTACATGAATTTCCAAGTGGTAGACCTGCCTCTGCGCTCTGCCCAATGAGATCCGTCAGGGGAGGCACCCGGCTCACTTTTCCACATCATTTCACAGTTACATTTGGCAGGCAGGCGGGCTCGCATGCCGGAGTGCTCAGCCCAGAATTAGTGGATTTATTCGGAATCTCCTTGCCTCCTCAAATCTCCTCCGCCGTCGCCGGTCTGTGCACAGACGGTCCCGCGCACCCTCCCGCTCGCTGCACTTCGGGCCGCGGACACCCAGAGCCCAGCGCGCCCGACCCGCGTCTCCACACCGAGCCCCGCAGCTCCGAGAGGCATGAACGGGATCCGGAGGCGCCTGCCCGGCGCGCAGGAACCGCTGGGTGCTCGCCGCTCTCGGGAGCCGACCCCGAGCACCTGCAGCCGTTTGTGAACCGGGAGGCTTGACATTCCCCAGCGCGGAGCCCCTCAAGAGTAAGTGGTCCCCCTTTGCCCCCCGTTTTTCCCCAAGCCCCGAGGACCCGGAAACGACCGTTTCCTTTAAGAATCCCCATACCCCTTCGGACACCTCGCGCGTCTCTTCCCCCCGCCCCCCCCCTTGGTGGACGCGGGTTCCTAGCTCAGGCGTGGGGCTGAGCTGCGTCTTCTTTCTTGACCTGCACAGCTGACGGGGCCACCTCCGGGCTCTGCCTGAGGATTTGGCAAACTGCTCTTGACAGTAGATCCTGGGAGTAGCAAGCAGGCTGTGCTTCTTTAGTGTTCCTGCCGGTCTCCCTCTCCGCGGTCGCCTGGCGATTTCGCCGCCTCGCCAGGCAGGCAGGCGACGCTGCAGCCGCGCGACTTCACTGCGGGGTCCGTGCGGTGAATGGGAAACACCCGCCGCTGGTGCTGAGGAGGGTGCGAGCCCGAGAGGAAAGGAGGCGACGGGGCCAGGGACACCCCCGAGGACAGGGAGGGCGACCCCCGCCTTGGGGCTGTGGGCCGCGACCCAGCAGCGAGAGCCTCAGCGCGACGCTTTCCCACAAGTGGCTGCTCCTGCTTGCGAGGCGTGGTGCCCGCTGCAAACTTGCTGGCTCTCGAGCCGCGCCGTGGCTCTGCAGTCGCCAAGACGCTGGCCCGAACCCAGGCAGGACCCCCCCACACACACACCCCAGGCGGCGTCCTTAGCGAGCCCGCGAGGCTACACTCACGGAGGCCCTCTGAGCCGGGGACTCCGTACCCTCTCTCCCAGCGCCCGCAGAGCGGGCAGCTGCGCTTTCTGGCATCTTCCTGCTCCCTCTCGGCGAGCACTTGGGGGGCGGGCCGCCCTCCTTGCCGGCAAAGAGGGCTCTCGCCTGGGTTCTGCCAGCGCGTAACAGGTTCATAAGGAACCTACTCCCCTTCTCCCAGGTTCCAGCCAAGGCCGGGATACGGTGAAAACCTGCCGCCGCCAACGCCGATGCCAACAGGTATCCACAGTTGCCTCCGCTTTCCCTCTCCAAGACCAAAGCTTTCCCCACCCAATCTGGCGGAAGCCTCAAAGTTTTGTTACGGTTGACCCTTCCCCGCAGGCGCTGAGCCGGCGGCTCGTGTAGGGCTAGGCGTTTGCCTTCTTAGCGAGCGGAGATGGCAGCTGTGTGCTTGGGTTGCTTAAATGTAGGAAATCAGACAACATTAATTGTTGATTGTTGCAAACGCACATTAGTGCGTAACGGAAAATCAGGCTGGCAGCTGCTCACTTCAGCTCCAGTTAAAGAACAGAGCTTATAACCAAGCAAGCGGCAGGGAGAAAAGGTCTTTGCAACTTTACCACGCCTTCCTGAAGATTCCACCAGAGTTTCCTCTTTAAGAGGCACGATCCGGCAATCCCTTAGCGCGCCCAAGCTGCTAATCAGATCAGCCGGCTGCTTGCTTTCACCTGGGTTCACACCGTTTGCGGGCTGACAATGGGAAGGCGGGGGCTTCGGAGAAGGTCTGCGAGAGCACTGCCCTCTCGGGTCGGGTACCATCGCCGAGCAGAGAGGAGGGACCGGGGTCGGTTGGGGCCGTTGTGAAGCGCCTGTCGTCAACACAGTGCTCCCGACAGCCATCTCAATGGTTAACAACCCTCCCGGGGCTGTCACCTCCGGCTTCATTATGGGAGCTTTTCAACTGGAAAACTCTATGTGGGAAAGAGATATTTATGTAAGATTCGAGAGTGGGATTTTCCATCCATTCACCCTCGCCGCTGTACCTCACTGCATGCAAAATGAGCCCTGTCTTTCAGGCTAAACACAACTGAAATTTCTGCCCTGCTGTTGCCTTTCATCAGCTGCGTCCAGTTTTGCAGGGATTTTTATCAGGGGTGTGTGTGCGTGTGTGTGTGGTGTGTAACACACACACAGAATTTTACCGAGAGGCCTGATACCTTTGAAGGATGTTCTCTAAGGGCTACATTTTTTTTTTTTCCCTCTCAGAGGGAGTTCTACATAATTATCCTGTCCAGACATGTTTTCCACTTCCTTGAGCTCTGTGGCTGAAAGAAATTCTAGGTGTATCCCTCTTATTAAATAATAATACTCATAATAATATTCTGTAATTATGCTTTAGCAGATTTGAAGCTCCCCATCACATAGTCATTTCATGCTGGAGCAGTTATAGGATTTTAAACCACCTTTGATATATATATATATCAATGTATTTTTTTTTTTCTGGACTCTGAAGAGGGCTTGGAGTTTGAGAAAATCTGTGAAAACAGAAGAGATTCTCCAGCAACTCCAGGGATTGCTTAGTTGAGGGCTGCTCAATGACAGTTCATCTTCCTCATTCCATTCCCCACACTACCCAAATGAGTGTCAGGGTATCCTGTGACCATCACAAATGGGCCATATATTTTAGAGACGCTGGCTAATGTTCTCTGAAATTTGTGCTATAATCCTGTCACTTAAACTTTTAATCTTTCTCCCCTGCAACCTGGATCTTGTGTTTCCAATTATTATTACTATTAAAAATCACTTCTGCTTTATAATCCACACAGTCTCCCCAAACTCTCCAGATTTCAGTTGGGTAAATCTCTCCATGCAAGCCTCTTACCATTTTTTTTGGCTGCATTTTTGGTACCTAGGATGCATTTTTTGAGTTCTTGAAGGTGTTACGAATTTTGCCAAACAATTTTATGGCTGCCCTCACTAGAATAGCAGCTCAATTTGCTTGCTTTACACATATCAACTCTAAAGGAAAGGAGGTCTTTAACCTGAAAGTAACTTTATTGGGGCATCAGGTAGAACTCTGGTCCAGGCAATTCATCTATCGCAACCCCTTAGTTTAGTACTGAACACACTTTAGCCAATGGTGGTATGCTCAGTGTAAAAACAAACAACGCATAAAACATGCTCAGCAGGATGGAACAGAGCACGTGAGGCAGCGTTTGTAAAAGCTGTTGTGTGAGCATACTCATGATACAACATTTCCCTGTAAACTGTGCACAGAGTTCAGGTCCGATACACCTGGCTAGCAGGGAGCGTCGGATTTTGGAGCAAAGCAGGGAAACTCCAAAGAATGAAGGTATAAGGATTCTATGCAAGAAATTGTACTTCAGGCTTTTGCTCTCCAGGTTCCTCTCATTATTTATTGGTGAGGAGAAAGGAACGCTTGCATATAGAAAAGTTAGAATCCATACTTCACCAACTGTTGAGAAAACCTTATAAGTAAATTAATGCTTTAAGAAAAAAAAAAATCTTCATTTTCCTACTCAAGGTGGCACACCTCTGGCTTTATCAACATCCCAATTTGAGCAAGTTTTCCATGCAAAACCAGAAGCTTTTCAGGGATAAAATGACATTAAATTTTCTATTTCCAATCACACTTTTCTGGTCCATCAGCAAAGTTTTGTGTTTGACGAATCAAGGAGCAGGCATAATCAGAGTAGCCTTTTAATTATAGATGTAGTCTAAAATCTCAAGACTTTTGAAAATATTGTGCTCAGTGATGCTGTTGATGGTGGCTTCAGTTATTTTATATTGCTTACAAAGTTATTCAGAGAAGCAGGAAAAAGGCACAGTTTTTTTCTTTGTTTTCAGCACTGTTGCATTCACAGCCAAAATGGACTAATTTTGGTTTTTAGTTTAGGAAAAGACTCCTAACTGTGGTGTATTATACAACACCCACAGTGTCCGAATTAAACCACGGCTGGTCTTCGTTGCTCTGTATTGTGTGTGGTCTACACTCACCCACAGATGTGAACACACATGCACACGGATGCAAAAAATTTACTTCTAGAAAACTTCAAAATGTGCCCAGACAACTAACTCATTTAATGGTTCAAGTCTGAGAGTTTTATCAAGTTCCCTTTGCCATTTAGTCTGCCTTAGGTTGTTTGTTTTGCCCTCCTGCCTTCTTAAATTTGTATATTGACCAGTGTCTTTAAAAACAAAAATGTTTGCGGTGCTGGAATTTTTTCACCAGAATCCCATAATTGTATATGTGTGAAATAGAATAATATTTTGATGGAACAAGGCTGTCATCTGAATTAGTGGGACTTAAGTAACCAAAGAGCTATTAGTCTTCTCTCATTTAATTCCCATAGAAAGTTGTGATGAGCAATATATTTCTGCTGAACTGTTGGTTCTTGCCTCTGGAACTCGCTTCAGATAGAACTATGAGGGGAAAATTAGTTGAACCTGGCAACTTCAAAAGGTCAGAAAAGAAATAAGTTCAAGGGATGCCATTCAGCTGCTTCTCCCATATGCTGCCTCTAGCAAAATCTCCAGTGCCACTCCATGGCAAAGCACCAGGACCAGTACTGTTCCCTTTCTCTATTTTGTCCCAAGCTTTTATTTCCTGAGTTTTAAAGGTCATATGCTATTCCTTATAAATATCATCTACCCTTTTGCCTTTAGAAGTCTTGTTGTTTTTTAAGTTCTGTTAGTACGTAGAAACATATAGATGTGGTTTTCTGTATCTCTTTGGAAAGCCTCATAAAAGAGTAACACTTGTGTTCAGAACCTTCAAACTTCCCTACTCTCTCAGCCAAAGACATGCTGAAATGATGGTTAGTTGAGGGCTAAGCCCAGAGCTAGTGCTCAGTATACATTTGTTTAATGCATTGACAATAAGCAAAGACAGCCCTCTCTCCCTTTACTAGGAGATTCTTAATAAAGGCTAAGGTGGGATAATATCCAAAGTCTGGTATTGTGACTGTCTACCTCGATTTTCTTTACAGAAATTGGAAAAATTTGCCTAAGTTGATCTTAAGATAGAACTTTTCTCTTTTTTTTAATCCATTTTTTCATATTCCACAAAGCATATTTTTCCTCCCTCAAAGTCCTTTGTTAAATGGTATGGGAACATAAAAGCATAATTCAGCTTTGTAAAAAGGAGAATGCCTCTAAGACCCAGACTTACATCAAGAAGGCTATTAAATTGTGTGGGATGCAAAGTTGTGTTTTATTGGGGAAAATACTCTAAATTATGGAAGTGTCACATGTGTAACTCAGTGTCCATACCTTCCCCTTGCT